ATGTATATATACCACTTGGGATGATGATTTGGTGGTGCAATTTATTAATAATGCAAAAATACAAATCTTATGTGATTGACTATAGTTAAACTAAGGGACGAGTATTTTAGCCATTTGCATTATAAGGAAACTGAATATAGTGGCAAATTTTCTTGCTAAACTCATTCTTTGGAATAGTTCGGGAGATTGGATTTTCAAAGACTCCCAAAATTTGTTTATGAAGTCTTAGTAGAAGATCGATAAAGTTGGCATACCAAGGGTTAAATAGATCGATCTTGGTAAAGGTTAGATAGTTTTCGATTGCTTTCTTTGAATTTTCCCTTCCTTTTCTTACTAAAAAAAAAGTAGGGACCAGTATTTTAATCATCAACCAACTAGATATATAGTATCTCTTCACATGCATTGTCACGTTTTGTCGATGAGACACTAGAGCTTATCTATGTCAAACTATTTTTACTTTTTCTAATCTTATTTTTCTATTTGTTGACTCAAGAAGTTTAGTCAAAATTGTTAGCAAAATAAAATTGTTGACTAGGATTTTCCCGAACTGCGTTACCAATTCCCTGTGTTAATTGTCATTCTAACATCCCTATGTGCTGCGTATTACATATTTCACTATTAATAAGTGAATTTTTTGTTAGTAACAACTATTAATAGAATTTTTTTATTGTATTTTTTTATCATTTTACATATGGATTAGAGTTTTTCTTGAAGTATATTCTAAAATAGACATTCACAATTTTTAGGTACATTGAAGAGGAAGATCTTATGAGATTCTTGAAGAAAGTAGAGATTCATACCATATTTCCACTCTTTGAAGGAGCCCTCGAGACGGGAAGGATAACAAAGTCTGCCTTTAGAAATTGGGTGGTAAGTTTATATGTACTTTATAGTATACTTGAGTCGAAATTCCTTAAATATACTTGTTTTCGGACTACCTTTTTCAGTTTGCCTATACTAAATTCTATTCTTATAAAATTTTCGACATTTTATCCAATTATCTTATCATGTCATAATAATAATTTTAATTAATAATGAAATATGGTTATGATGATATGAAGGTTAGAGCATACTATGAGCGGAAATTCCTTGCACATTCCTTAAACGACACAAAAACAGCAGTCCAACAGCTACACAAGCTGGCAAGTGCGGTTGTAAGTGTGATTATAATTGTGATCTCTGTCTTAATCATGGGATTAGCATCCACCAAGGTTATCGCCTTCATCATCACCCAACTCCTTCTCCTCGGATTCACGTTCCAAAACATGTGCAAGACCGTCTTCGAATCCATCGTCTTCGTCTTCGTCATGCACCCTTTCGACATCGGCGACCGTTGTGTCATCGACGGCGTCCAGGTATCTCTATGCGCACGCACATATATATATATATATATATATATATATATATATATATAGATTTCTAATCAGATGAGAACCAATAACTTAATTAATCTGCGAACTGCGAATTTGTGAATGATTGCACCGCAGCTACTACATGATTGCGCTGCTACGACTTTCAGGGTGCGGTGCAATATGTAGTAAGTGTAGTGCAATCCTTCACAAGTTCACAGTTGGCAGGTTAAGATTGATTCTCACCTGATTATGAACTATATATATAGATTTCTAATTAGGTGAAAACCAATCTAAACCTGCGAACTTGTGAAGGATTGTACCGCAACTACTACATAATTGCACTGCGACGACTCCAGATGCATGAAGGACCTTGCAGTGCAACCGTATCTAGATGCGGTGTAATCATAGTGCAGTGTGCAATCCTTTACAAGTTTACAGTTTACAGTTTGCAGGTTAAGATTGATTCTCACTTGATTATGAATCATATATATATATATATATATATATATATATATATATATATATATATATATATATATATATATATATTATTTAGTTCTCGATAAATAATGTTACTTTATGTGTGTAGATGATAGTTGAGGAGATGAATATACTGACCACGGTGTTTCTTCGTTATGACAATGAGAAAATCTATTACCCTAAAGCGGTTTTGATCACGAAGCCCATCAGCAACTTCTATAGAAGCCCTGACATGAGCGATACCATCAACTTCGACATTGACATGAGCACTCCTATGGAGACAATAATCGCACTTAAGAAGGCAATACAAACGTAAGTATTATGTTAAATTCCTACACTATACCCACATTTGCATTTTAATGAACAATTGAAAAACACAAGATTTTCGATCATTTAAAAGTGACCGAAAATGATGTTTCCCTTCTCTTAGAGATCCAAAATAGTGAACAAAAATTGACGAATATTTAGCCATGATGTTTTGGTTGATTGTATTGATGATGATGATGTTAGGTACATTGAGAGCAAGCCAAAGTACTGGAGCCCAAAGCACTCAGTTGTGGTGAAGGGACTGGATAATGTGAGTGTGTTGAAAATGGCTCTAACTGTTCAACACACAATCAACCATCAGAACATTGGGGATAGGAACAATCGCATAACCGAGCTAATTCTTGAGCTGAAGAGGATCTTTGAGAGCCTTAGCATCAAGTATAGTCTCCTGCCTCAAGAGCTCCATCTTACCCAATTCAACACCCCCAATTTCACCATGCCAATCCCCCATCCTTAGCTTCTTCAACCTAATTTACTCCCTTATAATCATATATATATATCAGTGTAGTATGTAAAAAACAAAAAAAACAAAAAAAAACATTCTAATTTCATCCACTCATATGTTTATTATACTATAGCTTTAATTGGCTGGTGTTTTCTGTTCTTTGTAAAATTAAATTCAAATGATAATACATTTGTTCGGTTCGGTGTATTTTATTAAAGAAACTTCTTGTGTGTCTTGTGTAGTGTAATAAGTAATAAAATTTGTCATTCTAAATAAAAGTTTCATTTTTATATTTTTATAGTATTATTGCGTGATACTATATTATACTTTAAAATTTATAGAATTGAAAAGATGACATATTGGCATAGGGTTAAATAGGCTACCCAATCACATATGCATAGAAATACAATTGGGACACCGAATAAAAAAAAATGTGATTAGGTCCTCAAATAAGTTTGTTTTCTTTTTCTTTTTTCTTCTTTTTTTTTTTTTAAGAAGGAAAAGAGAGATATCATTAACTTAGATCTAATTAAATACAAAGTATTACAAATAAAAGATGAGAGTAGGACACCCACTCTATGTTATTTGTCATAGAAATAGATTCATGCATGGGCCAACAAAGAGACCATTCAATTCGTATATCACTTAACGAAAGAGATAAAAACAAAAGAAAACAAGCTCATTATATCTTTAACATCAAGCAAAACTAGTTAAAAAATGACACTCTGTATAGCCATGACTAACATATGCTTTTGATGTGGTAAATTCTACCGGATATGCGTATTTGTATATATTATTATGTAAAGAGTAGTTGAGGGTAGTAGCTCGGGTAGTTGGGACCAATGGTCAGACGTTCCCGAGCAGGTAAGTATCCTAGTGGGAAAACTGTGAAAAAAATCCACTATACCAACGTCACAGGCGGTATTTATGGAAAACGAATGGAGACACATGCCGAGGGGTCGGCATTTGGGACACGTGTCCTTCATGCACTCGCGCGGTCTCGGAGGCAAGGGAAAAACATCAACGTGTAGAGAAATATTTGACGTGCCAGTGGCTATTAGGCCCAGCTTAAGCGTCATTGTCAATGTTCACCTTTACGGGCTTGACACACGGGTTCGGGACCGAGCTCAAATGAGGTAGGGTAGAAACTCATTAAGCTAATAAGGGAAATGAAATGACATTTGGGTCGGGTCTAGTTGTCTCCTAGGGTCGGGTCGAGTCGGGAAAGAATCCTTATCTAGCAGGGAGTCGAATCTGATCAGGTGCTCAGTAGATATGGGTCAATAGTCCAGAGTATATTCCCTATCAACTTTAATGCAGTTCATTTCTCCAATCCTAAAGATGAGCCCTCGCATTCTCAACAATTTCTCCCAATAATATCATTTATGACAAGCCAAATAGTAATACTCCTAAAGTTAAATAGTGAAATTGTACCAATTAGTCCATTGTCCCAATTAATCCCCTTATTTCTGTGAATTATTATGTACCACGTATATTTATTACTTTCATGAGGAATTAAATTTGAAAACTTGTAATAACTCAACTAATTATCCAAAGAACTTGAATGATATTTAGCATACCCATTGAACATAGTCTCGCGGGGAAGAAATACATAGAAGAGACATTTCAATGTGACCTTGAGTGAAATTATAATAATTTCTAACTAAAACGGGCGTTTGGTTGGAGGGAGGGAATTACGTGGAATTATAATAATTTTTAACTATAACGAGCGTTTGGTTGGAGGGAGGGAATTACGTGAAAAAGAAATTGCAATTCCATGAGAAATGAATTATTGGGAATAAAGTTGAAATTTAAATTCTAATCTTTGATTTACAAGAATAAAATTACTGAGAATTTCAATTTCAATATTTGATATACGTGGGAATTGAAAAGGAATAAATAGTAAAAAGTCTAAAATATCCATTGTTGTTGTCAGACATCAATTTTAAGTTAAAAAAATGGAGGATAATTTTGTCTCATCATTATCTTTTTTCTTCCTAAAATCCATGAAATTAAAATCCCAAGGAGGACATGAGATTTTAATTCCATGAAAATGAGGAAATTGAAATTTCTTCCAAGTAAACTAAAAAATTTAGAGGCTTTTAAAATTAGATGAGAATTAAGTGAGAATTGAATTTAAATTCTCTCCCATCAAACGGCATATAAGAAATAAACAAAGTAAAGAATATCCCAAACTTTCGATTTATCTCTAGTATATTCCAATATTCGATTTACCTACCCAAAAGTTACGAATAATTACACATGGCTTCCCTAGTTTTCCAAAATTACTCCGTAAACCGGGGATTAAAAAAAGAGGTAAAAAGAGCGGGGATCGCCAACATCGCATCATCACAACATCATCGTTGTCGTCATCATATATAAAGAGATACGCGGGTAACGGGATACAGAATACAAACAATTTTCGCGAATCACAACTACCGGGCTGGGGTAGAGTGTATAGCTCTGGCCTCTGGATTCTCCGGCTCCCCTTGCTTATGCCGTATCCTCTTCAGGTATCTCTCTCTATCGATATCACGTATAATTCGTGAACGCATACGCATGTTTAATGTGTATACGAATACGAATGTTTCTGTATATGTGAAATTTTGCTTCTATGATCGGTTTCGAGCTTATTGGATTGGGAGCTTTGAATTGGTTGCTCCTGGAATCTAGATTTTCCGTTTTTGTCTTTTTCCTGAATTTGACATCGACATTCGTTCGTTCGTTGATATTTTGCTTGAGAATGTAGGTTTTTATTCGATTTTATGGTGTTAGAATGTTTTTGCTTTGACATTCATTCGTTCGTTGATGTTTCGCTTGTGATTGTAGGTTTTTATTCGATTTTATGGTGTTAGAATTATTTTGCTTTGACATTCGTTCGTTCGTTGATGTTTTGCTTGAGATTGTAGGTTTTTTATTGGATTTTATGTGTTAGAATGTTTTTGCTTTGATGTAGTACATGTGTTGATTTTTGTTCTTCTATCATATGTATAATTGCATTTGAAAACCTCAGAAACCATATATAAGTGCTAGTTATTCATTGAATTGAATGAGATTTTGATTGGAGGAACAGAGACTTGTTTTCTGGTGGTCGGGTCATTGCCTTTCGTGGTGCATTGAAATCTGTAGCTGATTTTTTCTTTTTAATCTTTTATTTTGTATTTTTTATATTCTGATTTAGTCGGCATGCATTCTTTGGGAGAATGAATACAGTTTTTGGCTGGAAACTTATAGTTGACTTGCTCATTTCTGTTTGAGAACATACTTGGCTCTAAAATCTGTTTCTATCATGGTTTTGTTAAAGGATTTGGAAAAGCTGAGGTGAATTATGTTCTTTTTTGGTGGAGGTGTAAGTTTTGTGTTCTCATTCTGTTTAATTGAATTCAAGAGAATCTCACTATGCTGAGACTGTGCTCAGTACTACCATTTGTCATAACTTGGTTTTCCTCACAATTTGAGCCCCCTCTCCATGTCTCTTCTATTATAAGAATCATCATCATTACTTACTTTACTATTGAATGCTTTAGCACCTTATAGGATTAAATTTGCAGCTTAAAACTAATGCTTATTACTTGATGTGAGAGATTGTATCCATCAGTATTTATAAGTTTAATTATGCTAATCTACTTATCTGGAAGGTCATCCCTGTTATACTGAGGTTCAGTCTAGTTTATGAATTATCAGAAGTAAAAAATAAAGTCCAGGCTTACTTGGTTAGATGGTTGTTTACAATTGTTTAAATAAATATATATATTTAGACTTTGTAATATTTCAGGCTGTGTAAGTTTCCGATTGCAAGGGATTAAAATCACTTAGGACATGGAGGGAGTGTGCCATTGTTCAGATTGCTGCTGTCAAGTATTTTCATTGCAGGAAGTGCATATTGGTGGTTTCACTTCCAAGGGGACTTTCTTATTGTTTCCTTTGTCAATTGCACTTAGCCAGCAGCTTGCTTTGAATGATCAGTACAGGGCCACAAACGAATACTTTCTAAGATAGGTGTTGGACATCTTGAGCTACTTGACAAGTGTTTTGATGTAAGTTTTCGCTATGCTGTTTACTCTCTTGTGCAATTTCATTATTGCTAATGCTTTGCCAATTCAAAACTCCTTTGAGATCCATCATTTGAGATATCACTTCTGTTTCTTGTTCACCTCTTAGTCTTTATGTATCCAAACCTTGTCTGTAATCTCTCTTTCTTCTGTTTCAGGTATAAATTCTGCAAGCAAATTAATGATGTTTCTAAACATCAGTAAACTGTAAAAGTTAGATTACTCTTTCTTAGAGTAAAAGTTAGATTACTCTTTCTTAGAGTTAGCTGCTTTCTGTATGCGTCTGTCTTTTCTCTTGAAGGGTGCCTGCCAAGAACATGATTCACTTGTTTGAACTCTGAAGATTGAAGAATCGTATGAAAGGAGTTTCTAATTCTGTTTTAGAAGGCACTATGAAACTTATCTGGAATTAAGAATCAAATCTGTCATTGGACTACATTGTGCTTCAACTAGTGCCTGGGTGATATCAAGATGGTTGATAGCCCTTGTCTTACCTTGTTACTGCTTTGAGGTCTTTGGTGTGGTTTATGTCACGACATAAGTCAAATCCACCCAACATAATCTTGGTGGCTTTGTTGTCATGTGCCAGCCAGTGTAAAGTCAGTGGTGGATTTTGCTGAATCAGCCAGGACAGCAGTTTATATATAGTAGCTCTATTTTCGAGTTGTCTAACGTAGGCAGAATACCTATACATAGTCTATGTGTGTGTTCTTCATCTTCAACAAATAATAAGTCTTCTACATTCCAGTTTAATAAAAAATGGACAGGTCAGTTGATTTCTACTTCCACCGCCGTTCTCTCTTCTTCTTCTTCTTCTTCTTCTTCTTTTTTTTTTTTTTTTTTTTCAATTAACCTGTGATGGCTTGCTGCAGGTATAATATAATCAAGGAAGTTGGTAATGGTACATTTGCAAGTGTTTGGCGAGCATTAAATAAGCAAACTGGTGATGTGGTGTGTGCTACTTTCATCTTTAAAACTTGACCTTTAGCTTTTTATTTTTTTTATTTATATCAGATCTTCCATTAAACATTATTGCTGACCAGGTTGCAGTAAAAAAAATGAAGAAGAAATATTATTCATGGGAGGAGTGTGTAAACTTGAGAGAAGTCAAGGTAAAACAAAATTTCCCCATTTTCCTTTAATATGATCTCCCTCTGTCATAGATAAAATTGACATTTGTTTCATTCGCAGTCATTGAGGAGAATGAGCCATCCAAATGTTGTAAAGCTCAAGGAAGTAATTAGGGAAAATGACATCTTGTTTTTTGTGTTTGAATATATGGTACATCGTGCTTGTTACATGGTTTTTTATTTCTCTTTGCTATAGGTTTTAAGTAGTATTAAAAAAAATTTAAACACCTTCCAGGAGTGTAACCTGTACCAGCTTATGAAGGACAGAGTAAAGCTTTTCTCAGAAGCTGAAATTAAAAATTGGTGCTTCCAAGTATTTCAAGGTCTTGCACACATGCATCAACGGGGATATTTTCATCGTGACCTTAAGCCAGGTAGTTATGGGAATTTTATCTTCTTTTGATATAGAAGTATAATATATGTATGCTGTTGTAAGAACATATTGTTGACCGACTTTTGATATCCAATCACTAAAAAGATACTAATGATTATCAATAAGCTGCTAATGCTGACTTTTCAGTTGACTTCCTTTATATTTAACCTTCTTAACTTTTATTTGTTTTTTCTTTCACCTTTTACCATGAGTTATGAACATTAGTAATTTGATTTACACCTCCTAATGCTCTTTTAAGATGTGGAATTTTGCAGCACTGTGAAATTGTTCAACATGCAATACATGCATTCTAAATGAAATGTTATCATAATTTCTTAAGTTTATAAACTATGAAATTGTATTTTACTTTGATTCGCTGCTGGTTTTATTGTTGATGATCTTTGAGCTTATATTTGTGCTACTGTTAAGTGTACTTCAGACGCGTGTGGTCACTGGTTCTACACATAATTCTTGTGGGGTATGTGTCATATTTATGTTAGAAAACTAATCTTGCATTCTAATTCTGTATGCCACTGAATCTTACCAAAATCTGTGTTTCCTGTATGAACTTGGCTGATTGAAATATATACCATGAACTAAGTATTTATGCAATTGTTGTACTTGTCATCTGGTCAGTTCTAAAATAATGTTTATTTTGATGGTTGAACAGAGAACTTGTTGGTTTCAAAAGATATAATTAAAATTGCTGATTTTGGCCTTGCCCGTGAGATCAATTCTCAACCTCCATATACAGAATACGTCTCAACGCGCTGGTGAACATTTACTGTTTACCCTTGTTATTTTTTCCCCTCGTTTTAGATGAAGATCAGTAACTCAAAGGTGATACTGCAGGTATCGGGCTCCTGAAGTTCTTCTCCAGTCACCAACATATGGATTTGCTGTTGGTATGTATGAATTCAGAATTAAAACACTTCTCTCTTTTTCTCATTGGTATTATTATCCCCTCCCCACCCCTACATTTTCCATTTTTCCTCTCTTCCTGATGTATGATTTACTTTGTATTTTGTGGTTCAGATATGTGGGCAATGGGTGCAATTATGGCTGAATTGTTTACTAAGCGTCCTCTATTTCCGGGTTTAAAGTAAATCTTTTGGATATTTTTGTTCTCCTTGTTATTTTTCTCATTGATGTTAACGGATTGTATCATTATCAATGCAGTGAAGCAGATGAAATCTACAAAATATGCAGTGTATTAGGCTCACCAACAATGACGGAATGGTCTGAGGGACTTCAACTTGCCAATTCTATTGGCTACCAGTTTCCACAGGTGAGTTGTTCATCCCTTCTTCCCCCTCCACATGTGTGAATGAGTGCTTCAATCTTTACCAGATGCCATGAGTCAGTTTGTACTCATTTCCTTGGATTTGGTTTTTTTTTTTTATTAGATTTGTATATTGATTATCTTGTCTTATGTTATATATTGTAGACTGTTGGTTTGCATCTTTCAGTGTTGATACCATCTGCTAGTGAGGACGCTATTAATCTTATTACAGTAAGTTCTCTTTACAAACACTTGTCATCATTTCTCTATTTGCCTTTCGACAGGTGGATTTTTTGGATTGGAACAACATTTGGAATTTGTAAATTGGCATGTCTCCCCCTCCCGCCTTATTTTCCCTATGGTGCTACAAACCCACTTATTCCTTTTTCATGTGTTGCTTATTATAGTCACTTTGTTCATGGGATCCCTGCAAGAGGCCAACTGCTGCGGATGTCCTTCAGCATCCTTTCTTTCAGGTTGCCTATTTCTCCTGTGATGCCTCCATTCTTTCGTTGTGCTTTTTTCTTGTATTTAATATTTAATATGTAGTGTTATAAAGAGATATAACTGTTTGTATGTTTTTTTCTTTTTCTGACAGAATTGCTTATATGTTCCACCATCTCTGCGGTCTGGTGTAGGCCTCACAAGAACCACCCAATCTGGTTTGTTTTTTATTTCACTCACTGTGATGCATCCTGCCAGCCTTCATTGTTTTCTTACCTCCTTTCGATATCATTTGCTAACAGTAGGGCGCAATAATATTGAGTTCATTTCAACTAGAACAAGAGATGCATTGGAGCAAAAGGGCAATAGGTGGTCCGTTGGGACTATCTCCAACCCAAAGTCCATGAGTAAAACATCATCTTTCAAGCCACGTGCATCCTTGAATGCAGGTAACATATAATGTGCTGTATTGGTTTGTTAAAATAATCTAGAGCTAATACTTTTAAAATAAAATTAAAAATCTAAAGCTAGAACTGATTAAATAATAGAAATAGGCTAAAATTATCATGAGAAACCACACAAGAACCAATTGGCTTCTTTCATGAAGATCTTTCTTTACAGTTTAGGACAAAAAAGATTTCTGATATCCAAAAATCATCCATCTCAATACTTTTTTTACAGGTATACCAAGAAAGTCGGAAATAAACTCTCAGGTTGGTATATTTCATAGTTGTATTTTACACAGTTGCGGTAAGTTCTTCCGGTTATTGAGTTTAGTTTAGATAACGTTGTTAACAATATATTATTATATTCCCAGGATGCAATAAGCAATAAACCTCTTAAGGGTTCTCTGAAGCAGAAATCTAAATACCAACCACCAGCAAGGAAACTTCCCAGTGAGTTACATAAGAGTGAAATTTCAGTTTGTGCACTTAAAATAGTTTGGATAGGAATACTTTTTGCATACCATATCATGGTTGTACTCTTCTCTTCTCTTCTCTTCTCTGTGGGAAGTGTAGTTAAATTTGTTTATTTGTTTTTGTAATTGTTAGGAAAGACCAAATATTGAAAACTAAACACTTCGGGAATACAATAACAATTCACAGATAATAGGCAGTCTCTGCCTATGCACTTCTAGTATTGGCTCGAATTGATGTGGTAAATGTGCTTTTGCTTGGCAGTGCCAGGTCCCACGGTGAAGCCTAGTCAAGTCTCGAATACAGCTAAGAAGTTAACAAACCTGAATATTGGCTCCGGTAGACCACCTGTAAAACAACTATTGCCTCAGCCTATGAAGGGCGGTGTGGTGTCCCATGGAAGATCTCGGGACATTACTCCAGGAAGGGCTTCGACAAAGAAACTGGCAGGCTGAAGATTAGATACAACATTCATTCATGATGGTGCTCGAGTATGCTGTCCTTCGTGTCTCGCTAAATTTGTGAGTTTGATTATTTGACCCACTTTTATGCGTGCCTCCCCCCCTGTGCTATGTTCCAATTAGTAGACCAAACTGTTGTTTCACATTTACTAGTCTATGATTAAGAAATTATGTTGTGGTAAAATCTTCAAAGTGTCTTTTTTTGAGTAGCGACATTTCTGTTTTGATAATATTACTAGCAAAACTAGTCTAAACACAAACTCAACATATTTTCCATAAAAACCATTGAAAGTGTTGGAGTTTAGTAAACATTATACCATTGATTCCTCGAGCCCAGAAAGTTGTACAATAGAAACAGCCGTTTATATTGCCTATCAAACATCTTTCTTTTGTAGCCATTGAAGCAACCAACAACTTGGGAGGCAAAACAAAGCACGAAAAGAATTTGCAAAATCTTGAATGAAGCCATAAATTATCAGCGACCAAAATTGAATGAAACACTAAAACTCTCAAGAGAGTGACTGCCTTGTTGAATGAAGCCATTCTAACTGAAGAAGTATAAATTTCAAACATGCTCGCACTCTAGTAGTCGTCTAGTCTTTTTTTTTCTCTTTATCACTCAAAATGGTTGTGAACTCGAACCTTAATGCTATCTCCAGATGGGAGAGGCGATTTGCATCCCCTTAGATGCAGAGGCAAAATTTTTCCATTTCCATTGAGCATTCAATCTCTCAATGAATGCCAATAGGAAAAGAGTTATGGTTCAAAGGTATTGAGCTTGTATCCTGTCCCTGTTCTGTTCCCACCAGGTCTTGGCATTTACCTCCCCAAATCTTTCTCGACTGTGTGAAACATGAAAACAGAGCTCAAATTATCAATACAATGATAGAAGTTGTAGTTTATATATGCTTTTGTGATGTTTTTCATGTTTCTTGGACTTAATAGGAGTAGCGTGAAATACCTGAATCTGACACGGCGCAGCTCTCTGGTGCCATCAGCTAGTTGTCTGATGGTTATATACACCCCAGGTTCGTCTTCTTCTATCCATTCTGAATCCACTTCACTGGCATTGCTAACTGAAACTGCTGGCTCATCTCTAGAATCAGTCGTCATCCGTGATGGTTCCATAGAAGACATTGGGGCACCGCCGCCATAACCACTTGAGCTAGGTTTATAGTAATTCCTTGATGCAGGAGCTATCATAGGGCTCTCCCTTATTGACAGCCGAGAATAAGTAGAATCTCTCTGTATATATAATACATATAAAAGATTGTAAGCTTAACTAAATCTGGTTCACAATTTGTAATTCTGTAAGGTGAAGCTCAATTTACCCCAGCCTCGGAGTGCGAGGGGGTGCCAAATGCTTGCTGATTGAATCTTTGAACATTATAGAGCTCCATGATTCTGTCATAGTTTTCTCCCCACCATCTCTGAGCTTGCCATTTGTCAAACATGTCCCGGCTTCAAAAATCCAAAAACACTTATCAGTTTCAAATAGGAAACCAGACAAGAATTTAGGAATTTGAATATGAGTAACAATTCAGCAAAGCCCTATGGCAACAAGAATGTAATATTTCAAGAACATTTGAACAATATTCTGAAGGGGTTTCACTACTATAGTACCTGAAACGGATTCGTTTAAGATCATTCCCGCCAGTTGGAAGAGACACAAAAGTGATCTGAACTCCAGGCTCCACCTGAGCTGTCCACTCCTTGGGCTCTCTGTCTTCTTCCAGGACCAACTCACCAGACTGGGGGACTGAGTCTCCACCACCAACAAATCTCGACTGGGGTCGAGGAGTCCGGTGATGAGCAGGATTTGTGAAATCCCAAGCTGGTGTAGAGCTTGAGCTCCCAGGCTGGTATGTGTATGGAACATCCTCGGAGATTGTATCGAAATCGGGATATGGCCTATGCCCTTTCCTATAACTGCTGGTTGGTGTGCTTGACTTGCTTTTACTTCCAGACACCTTCAATGCAATATCCTTTATCTGTAAATCAATGACCAAAACCCATCCATTTTAGCATAATGAGAGCTGCCATTTGTTACACCTAAAACATCAACACAATGACCATTACACAAAATTATTCTAGCAACTTAGTCCTGTTAATGAACACATATCTTGTTATTGGCATTGATTATGTGCATAAGTTGCTTAAAACACAAATAAACTTGAAACATAGGATTCCTGGCTTGGCAAGAGATTAGGAGTTCCAAGGTACGAGAAACAGTGTTGATATTCTGCAAGCATTTTGACTGTGTGTCATAAAGGGCATCCATGGATTTGAATTGCTAACATGGTAGCTGGGAGTAGGAGGGAGCACAGTGAGTGGGAAGACAAGTCAAAGGAACACTGATAGCTCTTTACCAGACATGAACATTGTCTTTACTCACATCCTAGGGAGATTTGACCAAAACACATTCACATGTAAATAAAAATAAAACAAACAAACAAATAAATAAAAGAAAACTACTCCATCCTGAGCAATCCCCAAAGGGATCAGGGAAAGATTTTCTTCCAGCTTGGAAGATTTTGTAAAGGATAGAACGTACTGAAAAAGCAAAAGGAGTAGTGATGCAAAAGACGGAAAGGCAGCAAGTTACTTGGACTATATGTCTCAATGTTGATGTTCTGAACATGGCTTTTTGGGTCTTGACAGCAAAGGGGAACACTGTTCATTTCTATAGAAAAATACCCTCAACCTTTCCACCATTAAAGGTTGCTCTGCTGGTGTCATCGATTGGTTGCAGACCTATTTTTGTCCACTAACCCAAAGTGAAACAAATAGCCACCTAATACCTTTAATCATAGAATTAGCTATGTCTTAAGCCAAGATTTTTTCCCCTTTTTGTTTCTTTTAACGTTTTTAGATCATCAATCCAATCAAACCCAATGATGGGAAAAAACAACCCCAAATTCACCAGATCCAAGGCATAGAAACTGAAGCCAAATTGTTTACGTTGGGTAGGCCCAAACACCACCAGTGAGCTGTGAGCCCCACAAAATGGAGGCCACTGTACAGCGTTACAAAATAATAGTGTTTTGCACTTTGCATGCAAAGACTAAGAAGAATCTCCTTAATCATCTTATTAGGTCTTTTTTTTTTTTCTTTTCTTTTTTTTTTTTTTCTCACTTTTAATCATTTTTTTGCACGCACATAGTTATGTGTAAAGACTGAGTTTGATCCTGACCTTTACACAATTACACCTAAGGGTTCAAAGCATTCTTCTTCTTTTTTTTTTTTAATGACGAAGAAAATCATAGTCATTATTTAAAAGTGTGCACTAAATAAATTCAATGTGTGACCCTAATTGGTAAAGCTGTCCATAGCTAACAAGTTCAAACAAAAAAGAGCAATAAACTTACAGACCGCTTTTACTAGAAGTCGAACTTATAACATTGTTGTTACCAATTTATCAGTCCAACTAACTTGACTGGGATTGCTCCAAATCCGACTTTTAAGTTTGGAGCAAGTCTATCTAACCTTTTGCTTCTTTTTTTTCTTTTTTTTTTTTTTGCTGTACCTACTACGTTTACGTGACAACTCTCTCATATTTTGGTTTGTTATTCCGTAATAAAATTTGACAAGGTGGGGAAGACTAATATAATAATATAGTAGGGAAGGGAGTAGGATAAGAACCTGTGCCGTCAGGCTTTTGACGGCGTCCTTTGTACCGGGCGTTCCACGGGGGCCTTCCTCTCCGTCATCGTCATCATTCTTTTGCTTACACGTGATGCACGTCAACATCTCCTCACTATCGCTCTCCTAAAATATATATGTTTTTTATCTGAAAAAAGTAATAAATCTGTAAGAAGTACTGAAGTACTGTAAATCTGTAATAATCGATGAAATTCACAGAATGAATTTGAACGAAATCATCGTCAATTTTCGGATGAAATAATGAAGCACACTGTTCGTATTTGAGTAATTTATTTCTTTGTCGAAAACAAAAAATAGAATGAATGACTAATCGCTTTATCAGTCGCTGTGTCAGAGACTAGACAGCGGCCATTGAATCGACAAATAGACAAAAAGCAACCCGCGCACACGCTCTGCATCTCATGCCGGTTTCCCCGCACAAATTATATACGGTGACGTTTCATTAATTAATTAATTAATACAATAATTTAAACCTCACCTCGAATTTCTCCGGCGTCAACGAAGACGATCGCTCCTTCTCTTCACTCCCTGCGATTTCCCGGCGACAGAAAGGAAGGAGAGAAATCGGCGGCGCAATCGGTTCCGCGACCACTGAAATTCTCCGGCATTAAGCTCAGCTGACAGCTTCCAGGGCGGAAAAATCGCCGTCAAACGCCGCGTCTCCGGCGCCGGAACTCGGAATTCTCGGATTATCAGCTCCGGCGACTACATCAACACATAGAAAAACAGAGCAGGACAGCACAAACGTGTGACGCGTGTGTGTAGATATAGATACAGGGGGCTGTATGTATAGATTCTCAAGGCGGAAACCAGAGAGAGGAATTGGAATGGAGACAAAGAGAGAAGTGGTTTCGTCGTTATATAACGGAAATCGTGAGTATATGTATAGAGAGGAGCCGTGCAGTGAGGGTATTGTTCGGTGCGCTTCAGTGATTGGACGCTGTTATCGAATGATCATTTGGACAAATGGGTGCTTTATGGTCTTGATTAGCGGAGACATGATGGCCCACCTGCCAGGTGGAGTGGGATTAAGCACACGTGTCATCACTTAATTGGATAGCAGTCTTCATTGGTTGAAAAATCACATCATTAGCTTATCAGTGTTTATTTTAATCAACCGTATTAACAAATCACTCAATTAAATAATAATTACTAAACAATGGGAAATGATCATAGGATCGCAGCAGCTGCAGAAAATCTCACTTTTTTATTTACCGACTATCTATTAAAAAATAATTAACTATTATATCAAAATGACTTTATATCATCAACATACTGTCTTATATTAGACCAATTACCTAGTATTTGCATACATAGATTAAAGCCTTCTAATCCAAAAAGGGTATGGTTGGGTTAATTAATATATTTATGTATCCTAACAAGAGATGATGAAAATGTGGAATATTAAAAGTGCCATAGTGGCAGGGTGTATATCAATTAAATTAGAATACATATAATAATCCTAACATATAAGATATTATTAAAAATCTTGTAGCTTAGTGACAAAGGGAAATTGAAATTCTAGTGTGTTTATAGAGAATACAATAGAATGATTAATTTTTTAGTG